TAGCTCTGCACTAGACAGATTGTTTTTGTTGAAACGTTTCGTCTTTTATCCACAAGTCTTCTTCAGTCTGAGGAGCTGCAACAAACTCAGTCTTATACTGTAAGCAGCACCTTCTCATCATGGATCAACCAGTTTGCTGGTGACAGCCAGAACTAGCTGTTCACATGAAAAAGGAGGACCATCAGATCGTTAGTGCCCTGATGGCCGCTTGCTATTCACAGAGGGCTGAGTGATCCAATAACAGCATTGTAAGAGGGGGACAGTTGAACGAATAAAAGACAAAATGTTTCAACAAAGAAGAATCCGTCCAGTGGACCTGACTCAGCCTTGTTAGATTAGTTGAATTTAACACAACTTAGAGCATAAACATCTGTCCTAAGGAGGTGGATCATTCAAATTGAATAATAATTAACAAAACACATTTTTAGGTCTGTGGGGACTGATTTGTTTTACGATGCCTTGCTGCTTGTCTTTAGATAAATATGGTTGAACAAATATGACGAAGAAAAACTGTAACTCAGGTGGAGTTGTCACTGAATTTGGTTCATGTTTGGGTATTTCTCAAGATGAGTTGTGACTTTATGTCTCTCTGATGATTGATGTAAATATATGTTTTAATAAAGCATTGTGATAAAAACCTCTGAATTTTAATTAAATATTTATTAACCTATTTTAAACACCCCAAGTTAATTAACTTTGCAGCTAGTACTTGTACTTCATAACCGTTTGATAAAGCTGAAAGAGTTTCTATAGCCTTAATTTGTTTACTGTCATGATATGAGACCCATCATGAATTTACACCCTCAAGTTACTGTTTGGTCATGGTAATGTAAATATATTGTGAAAGAAAAAGAAAATGTACTGTATGTGACAGTTTTCCATGATATAAAATTAAAGGCCTAGCATTCCTTGAAGGAAAGCATATTATCTGCCACAGTTAATTATTTTGTTTCTGATAACGGTGCTTGTGTGTCCATGCAGGGAGGGAACTGCTCCATAGACGGTAAGAATGATGGGGAGGACTTCAGGCGTTTGCTGAATGCCATGGACATCCTGTGTTTCACCCCAGAGGAGCAAACTGGTATCTACAGACTCCTGTCTTCTGTCCTTCATCTGGGGAATGTCTACTTCCAGCCACATCAGGTCCCCCTGTCCATTACTGTCTCACACAAATACAGCTGCTCCATAAGTCTTGTCAGTTTCACAGCTGAATGATAGTGTGTAAAGATGCAGGTAGAAATGAATGTGTGTGTGCTCCTTGCAGGCTGAGGGCCAGGAGTTTGCATCAGTGGTGAGTGCTCATGAACTCAGGGTTGTAGCTGAGCTGCTGCAGGTCTCACCCGAAAACCTGCAAAAGTCTGTCACCTACAGAATGACAGTGAGTTGACCTCCCATTGCTTTAATTAATAAAACCATTTAAGATCATTATTACAGGGATAAATGTGTGCTAGATATCTGATGTGTTTGACACCTCCTCCCACAGGACGCAGTGATGGAGAAGATCTACACTCCACTGACTGTGGAGAGCGCTTTGGATGCCAGGTGAGTGACTGAAGAAAAGGCTCCTTAAAGTATGTTAGACTGCATCTATTTCCTTTTGTAATAACTTGCAACAGAGGCCTGTGTGACTGTTTTGTTCTGATGCCTTTTAATGTTCAGTCTCTTTTTAACCCTTCTGAAAAAAACATACCAGACTACAGAGGGAGAGTGAAATCTTTGATAGTCTTTTCCAACGTTTGGCAGAGGCATGTGAGGACAAAGGACGTCAGGGCTTGGAGGGAGATTTTTCAGATGTCTTCTGTTTCCATAGGAACCGACTTTTCTGTTTCCATAGAAACCTTATTGTGTGTTTCTCATAGAGATGCTGTTGCCAAGATCCTGTATTCGCTGCTGTTTAGTTGGCTGACTGAGCGCATCAATGGACGCATCTACCCTTGCAGCGAATCCCTCTCCATCTCCGTGTTGGACATATATGGATTTGAGGTCATGCTGAAAAGAAATATCTCCTGCTAATGTTGCTGCAGAGGTGTATGAGCTGACTGCTGTTAACTAACATGCCTCGATGTCTTTATCTTTTTTTTTTTTTTTACCTTTCAGGAGCTACAAGTGAACAGTTTTGAGCAGCTGTGCATCAACTTTGCAAATGAAACTTTGCAGTTCTACTTTAACAGGGTCATCTTCCAGGAAGAGCAGGTCAGGGAAGCCATGACTGTCGTAAATAACTCTGCATACATTTTGAGTCAAATGTATGAAATCATGCACCTCTCTAAAAGCAGACGTATGGTGGAAATTTGGTCATTTAACAGGACACTAATCTTTACAGCAGAGCTATAACTAAAGGGCTGAAAAAGAGAGGGTGATGCAATGACTTAAAAGTCCAGACCAATACGACTGAACTAATATGATGGGATGTTAAAACGAAACTCCGCATATCTCAATGAACTGAAGCAACATGTAAATACAAGCACGTCAACATTCCTTCACAATTATTCGACTTATTCCAGCATGAAGAGATTTATTACTGCGTGGGTTTGCTTCAGAACTGTGGTTCTTCAAGCTGCTGAATAATGAGTACCAAGCACTATTTACACATTTTGGTTAAGTTTTTTGTAAAATAACTAATGACATAGCCTAATAAGTCATGCATTCATCAGAAGTTGTGTTTTCTCATTCTAAAGACCTGGTAGAGAATAGATACTAGGGATGCAACGATCCACTTTTTTCACTTCCGATCAAAGCCGATTCTGATCCAATACCGATCTGCTACATATAAAATGTGCTGAATTATCAATATCATCATCATCATTGATTTTTATATGAGGCTGTAATAATCTCCTCTCAGATTTAGCGGGGCAGATTGGATGTGGCTGGCCGGGGTCGGGCTGCCTGCTACGGGTTCAGCGAGAGGAGCTGACCACTGAAGACCCGGAGCTTGAATGTCCAACGTAAAACTAACTTTACCGCGGTTTAATGTGGCGCTATGGCTCTGCAGACATTGCACGTTGCTGTCTTGCTTTGTGGTGTTTCTAGTGTAAAATACTTCCACACAGCGGACATGTT